GTAGACCAGTGGTGGAGTCATTAACCGGTATGGGTTTAGGACCTTTGTTGTAATGACTTGAAATGGTAGCTATTCTAGCTATGTGACATGATACATTGGTTTTAATAAATCAGGAACCTGTTTTGGTTATTTCGTTTCATTGGAATGAATCATGTGGATTTGTTATATGTGTATCATGTGTTTGAATCTATTACTCTATAAGAGTGGTAAGTTTTACCAGTTAGATTCTGCTAGGATGAGTTTATCTCTTAATGTCATTAGTCCAGTTGTTTTCTGAGTAGGGATAGATGGAGGCTCTTAAGAGAGTTAAGACCTTTGTCCCAGTAGCTCTTAAAACAGGATAGATAATGACACCGAAAGTTAAAGGGTTGAACTTATGTTCTTAATGTTCTAGTTCCATTGCATGTAATTCTTTGGTTTGCAAGGTGCTTAAACATGTTTAAGCCTACAAGGAAAGACCTTTGAATTTGCTGGGAACGTGTGTGAGTAACACATAGGATGAACACCTACATGATTACGAGAGGTGACCTCTCTCAAGGGAAGACTAGAGTATTGTTTTCCTGAAGTACTCATGAGAGCCCAAGTGTTGGCCAAGATTGGCGGAGTTTCTTAAGCTCTAAAGTCAAGGTATGTGCATTCAAGGTCCCTTCCTCGCTCCTAGGAGTTCAAATCTTAGGATACTCACTAGGGAAGTGTTGAAAACCTTGTGTACTAATGTGTTAGTTCAAACCTTTGGATACTAGCATTTAAGTACTAAGACTTTCATTTACTGTTCAGATTTCATGTTGAAGATCCGCTCGCATTAGTGGGGGATTGTTGGAAATAGGTAATGCAAACGGGCCAGAGGTGGTCAAGGAAAAATAGGGAACTCTCGCGCCCGATCGGGCGGGCTTCGCCCGACGTGGCGACGGACAAGAGTTTTTTTACGAGAACTCTCGCGCCCGACCGGGCGGCGGACTCGAGTTTTTGACGAGCCCGATCGGGCGGCTTCGCCCGATGGCTCGCCCGGGATGGGGATTTTAGATCGCCCGACCGGGCGGTGTCCGCCCGACCGGGCACGACACTACGTCTAGAGAAGCTCGATCTCGCGCCCGATCGGGCGGCAGCTCGCCCGATCGGGCCCGCCTTTTTTCCTAGGTCGGTTTGCTTTGCGTGTCTCCTTTTTCGGGACTCATATAAATATGAGTCTTACCTTTTCATGAGATTGTTCACTTTTCTAGCCGAAAAACACAAACCTACCTTTTGAGATCTGAACAGTTCTTGAGCAATTCCACTCTTCGAGTTCGGGTGCACGGATTACGGAGAGAGTTGCGTTAAACTTGGGGGGCGTGCGTCACTAGGAAACTTGTACCGATGGTGGCGTATTTCTCTTCTAAGGCAGTGGATTCTGTTCCACGGCGCGACTGTGAGTTTGGGATCTTCAATCCAGGAAAGTTCTAATCCTTTTGTTTATTATTGATTTCGACAGTTATTTTTCCAACATTGTAGATAGCAATGGCCTTGGGAGTCACAAAGCTAGAGTTGCAAATGGATAAGGCTTGCCTTGAAGCGCTGTGAAATCAAGACCTTCAGGATCAGGCCATGGTTGAGAATGATTTCATACTTCTTACGGAATAATAGTTATTGGTGGTGTTTTGGTTGTAATTTTAGTTTTGTTCATTGTTTTAGGGAGGGTAATAACTAATAAGGTAGTCGATTGTTTGGCTAATTTGGGATTGTCGTTTTTAAAGAGAATTTTGTTTATTTTTTTTATTATTTTTTTAACGGGAAGAATAATATCATTAAATAAAAGCCATACGGCATCTACAATAATAAGGATCCGTAAACCACATATTTAGAGAAAATATCATAACTTTTACAATCAAAATCATAACTAACTTGCATATTTGGCATAGCTCATACTCCACCGCTTCAAGCTTAATGTAAGCAATAATTTTCGATGTCTTTGCATCTTTCCAAGTTGAGACCTTCGCAATCTGCGTTGATGTTTTGATCGACCAGTTGATGACAAATCCCAGACCCATAGGAATCCAAATCACCTTCCCAGTTATTATAAGAACCCTAAAAATAAAATTCTCATCCATAGATGAGAATCAAAATCTCATAAAATTGGGGAAAACCCCAAAAAAATTGGGACAGACTCTCACAGATGAAGAGAACAAAACAAAACAAATAAACCAAAACGTAAAATAAAACAAAAAAATTAAATTGAATTAAAGAAAAATCGTCGGAAATGGTCTAATTTCCGAAGAAATTAGACTATTTCCGGCCTAAACGGCCAAGAAAATTAAAACCCTAGAAGAGAGAGGAGAAAGGAGAAAGAAGAGAAAAAAAGGCGCAGATTGAATGTTTATTTTAATGTATCTCCAATTGGATAAATGATCGAATAGGTAATCCACACCACGCTTGGTTGTTCAATTTTTGCTTAATTTGTTAATTGGGGTTTTTCCCCGCTTTTGCTTTTTTTTTTTTTTTATTGTTTTAAAAAAAACACCATGATAAGATAGGATCTCAATAACTTTGTTTGAATGTATGTTTTTTTCACATATATAAAATTCATAAAGTTACAAAATAATTAATAAAGATATTTGACAACAATTAAACAAAATTCAAAAGATACGATTTAATTTGAATTTAACAAAACTAATGGGCCGTTTAGTTGGGGTTAATCATCAAAGGGAATTGGAATCAACTGCCCCCATTCCCTTTGTTTGTTTGTTATCCCATTTTTCCCATTCCTTTTACCCCATTCATTCCCCCAAATCCCTCTAACTTCATTCCCCACCCCCCTAGGTATTTCCATTCCATTCCCTACCCACCTTCATATCACCACCTTCACACCACCACTGGAAAACTAGCCCATACCACCGTCGCCCATCCTCCGACCACCGCCAACCTTCCCCCGAGCCTCGCCGCCTTCCCCTCCCCCGAAAAAACCTCCCCAAGCCCCGAAAAACCCTAACCCCGATCTCCCTTGACCCCGAAATCCGCCGCCCAGCCCTCCCACCACCCTCAAAACCCTAGCCGTGGTGGGAGGGCTAGGCGGCGGATTTCGGGGTCAAGGGAGATCGGGGGTTAGGGTTTTTCGGGCTAGGGTGGTTTTTTTGTGGGAGAAGAGGTTGAGGAAGTGCGGCGAGGGGTGGTGGTGGCGCTGCGAAGGGGGGGAGTTGTGGAGGAGGTGCGGCGAATGGGTGGAGTGGCTGGGTGGTGGCTAAAAATGGTTGAAAGTGAAGGCAAGTGGTGGTGGTGTGGTGGTTGGACTGGTGGCCTTCCACTCATTCCATTCCTTTGTTATTCAAAACAAACAACATTCTAAAATTGGGGGATTTTCATTCCATTCCTTGTCTTTCCCTTTGATCATTCCATCCCGATTCTCTCGTGCGAACCAAACGACCCCTAAGTAGTAATAAACTAATAACTACTAATAATAGTAATAACTTACTCCTTAAGAACATAGTACATAACTAAGTAGTACTAAAGTTCTAATAAGTACTCCTTAAGTAAGAACTTAAGAAGAAGCCTAATTATTTTTTTTTTTAGGAAATTTGATCCGTTAACATTACCTATATAAGTTTGGATGAGGATGGGAAGGACGTAATTGTACATGACACTCTTTTTACAACTTTACGAGTAGTTCATTTGTTTGGTTTACTCTTCGTATTTTTTATTTGTTGCATAAACGCCAAATAATAATGCCTTCTTTGATCTAACTTTTTTTTAACGAAAAAAGACGACTTTATATTAAGTTAGGATGATAATTAGCATCCTTGAGAAAACCAAAGCTAACCAACAAAAGGGGAAGGCAGATAGCATCTGAAAAATTAGCAACCCACCTCCCAGCAAAAGCTTCGAAGCCGAAAAACCAGCAGGAAAAACAAGGTCTAACAGCTGACAAAAAGTTGGATCGATGACCAACTTTCTCTCTCTAGTTTTTTTCTCTCTGCTAGGTTGATCATCAGAGATTTACCTTCTCGCTTGGGCGAGGGGGCTCTGAGAGTCTCTTGGTCTTGAGATTAAACTCTGTCTCCTCAAATTGTTTTTAGTTTTTCTTTCTCTCTTTTGCAGGTATTGAAGCTCGCTCCAGTTTTCTACGTTCAATCCACCTCTCCCTCCTTGCTTCCTTTCCTTTCTACCATGGCTAGTCCCTCCTCTATGGATACTACCATGGAAGAAGCCCCTTTGTTGGATCATAATGATGATCATGCTTTAAAAACTCCTTTTTCGAAAGTTGTTAGTAAACCCATCGTGGACAATCCTCACAATGTCACTCCTTCCCATTACTCTCCTTCCCACAAGGCATCCCTTTCCTTTAGGGAAGTTGTTCAAGGATCATCCCAATGGTTTAAAGAGGCTAGAGAAATAGTTGTTTCATCACTCCAATGGGAAGATGAAGATGCCACAACCCCTCCTGACTCAACCAATACTGTCTCATTGCTAAAGAAACTCTAGAAAAGTTTCGCCACCTTTGGAAATTAACATTGATGGGGAAATGTTTAGGCATCTCTGTTCGACCATCTTTTATCACCCAACGTGTTAGAGCTATGTGGAAACCTAAAGGTACTCTTGAAGTCATAGATCTTGGTAAAGATGTTTATCTTTTCCGATTTTCTATCATTGATGATTATGAACGAGCTCTTCTTGGAGGACCTTGGTTTATTCTAGATCATTATCTGATGATAACCAAGTGGAAACCTAACTTCCAACCCTCAACAAACCCGTTCAATCGAATGACTGTCTGGATTCGCTTTCCAGAATTACCGGTGGAATATTATGATAAATTAGCCCTATTCGAAATCGCTAAATTGGCTGGTAAGCCAATTAGGGTCGATTATGCAACTGATCGCCTCACAAGGGCCCGATATGCTAGGGTGTGTATCGATATTGATCTTACTAGTCCCTTAATTACCTCTGTTTGGGTTAGTAATGGTTGGCAAAAAATTGAGTATGAAAATATTCATGATCTTTGCTTTGTTTGTGGGATTGTAGGCCACCAAAAAGAAAAATGCAAAGAAAATTCCAAATTGGTTGACAAAGGCAAGCAACCCATTTCCCACGTGATTCATGAGCCCAACACTATTTCCACTCTGGATAAAAACCAACCATGCTTAGATAGCGGATTTCCACTTGTCAATCCATTACAACAAGCATGCCCATCCCACATGGCCCAGGTGGCCACTATCTCTAATAACCCAACTCCACAACCTTCTGAACTTTATGGTCCTTGGATGATAGTATCCAACAGAAGACTTTCCCACAAAAAACCAATTAACAAAACTCCAACTCACCAGCTTCCAAAACCAATTAACAATAAGAATAATTTACTCTCTAAAAACACCTTTAACCAAAAGTCTATCACTCTTGCTCCTTCCCAAGACAACCCCTTTCTTGTTTTAGCCAATAATGGAGCTACTGAAGAAATCTTATCCCCAGCAAAAAACATTCAAGCCGAAATTCTCTGTAAAGAGAATTCTATTCTGCAGGAAGCTAAAGAGTCTTGCGTGTTATCTTCCTTTACTGCAGCTAATTCTTCAGTTTCCTTTGGACACTTGGCAATGGATATTGAGGAACCAACCAACGCCATGGAAACCCACTCACAGTCTCTCCATCTTCCCAATTTAAACCCCTCAACTGAAATTAACTCCGACATTGATATAAACCCCCAATTAATTAACCCAAACACAAACAATATTACCTTGAAACAAAAAAATGGAACGAAATCAAAGAAACTCCCTCACTCCCCGGCGGTCGAAGCGAATTCAAGCTCGACCACCTCGCCGTCAGCGCCGGAACAACCCTCCATCCTCGACAAACCCCCTGGTGTTGCTCCCTCCCTCACCCCCTCCCCCACCGCCCAGCCGCTGCTCTCCGTCGACAGAGCTTTCCCTAGCTCCGCCGTTACAGGGGATCCAAATCCCACCTCCACCCTTCCTCCATCGTCTCACCTCCAACACCCGAACAATCCAACCCCAATTCCGACCACTCAGCTCCACCAACCTACCGAAGACAACCATCTTCACCCAGCCAAAGACCATTCAAGAAATCCAAGAAATAATCCGATCAACAACGAGTCAGAGCAGCTACCGGTCGTCCACTCCTCTTCTATGGGCATCGATAGAAACTCCTCCAACCCAGGAGAAAATATCTCTAATGCACAACACCTTGCTACAACTCAACAACCGCCTCCCCAACCACCAGACCTCACCCCCTCCGCTTCCACCGAAACTGAGATGGAGTCAAGACCGGGCTCATCTCCTCCACCTCAATCCCCTTATTCCTCCACCTCACTTGAGAAACCTAGCCACTCTGCCTCTAGCTTTCGATCCCATAGAGAAAGACGTAGAGCTTCCGGGAAACCTTATGATATTAGCTCAGACCCAAGGGGAAGTGGTGGGCCTCCGGGTCGACGTCAACTTCTTGGAAACATCTCTAACGACTCGGGAAATTCAATCCACTCTATCCCCTCTCTCAATGATCGACATTTTCCCGACACCACAAGCTCAGCAATGGGAAGACCGGAAGATGGCACTTCCACCAATTCCACCCACTGAACTCAAAGAAGAATATCTTTCACCACCCTCTTTTCCAAACTTAAATATGAAAGTCGTTTTATGGAATGTTCGAGGTGCTACTAGGAATGATTTTATTCCCCACGCTTGGGATATCATAGCTACCCATAAACCTTCAATCTTTATAATCTTAGAAGCTAAGAGTAATGGGGTTCGTGCCCTTGAGGTCAGTAGAATGCTTGGTTTTGATGGCCTTCGTTTCATCGAACCCAATGGTAGTAGGGGAGGAATCTGGCTCATGTTTAATGCTGGGGTTGAGCTAATTCTCTATAACCCTAAATCTATCAATTTCTTCCATGCCCTGTTCAAATTTAAGCCCCATAATACTGAAGTATTACTTACTGGTATCCATGCCCCCTCTAATCCTTCTGAGAGGCATAGAATGTGGAACAATCTGAAAAATGACCTACCTCCAGATGACACTCCTTGGTTGGTACTTGGTGACCTTAATGAAGTCACCTCCCCTACTGAAAAAATGGGGGGTCGAAATTTCAGAATGTCCCAATGTCAGGACCTCAACATGCTGGCAGATGCAGCGTGCCTTGTTGACCTTGGTTTCAATGGTAACCCGTATACTTGGCACAACGCTCGTGAAGGTGCTGCTATAATAAGGGAGAGGCTTGATCGAGCTATGGCAAACCCGAGTTGGCTCAATAACTTTCCAAACACTCAGGTAATTCATCTCCCTAGAACTTTTTCTGATCACAATCCAATTCTCGTTACTTTGTTTAATCGTAATTTGCCTGGTAACTACCCTTTTCGTTGCAAAATTGCATGGTTGGAACACAATTCTTTTAAACCCTACTTTGCTAATAATTGGTCCAATAATAATAATGATTTTATTAAAGGGAGAAGCGCTTTCTTAATTCTATTAAAATATGGAATTATAATGTTTTTGGTAACATCACTATAATAAAACAAAACCTAATCAAAAGGATTGATGGTATTCAACGTAGCTTATCTAATCGTTTTTCATATTTTTTGTTTCATCTTGAAAAAGATTTAATTCATCAGTTAAACTTGATTTATAACTCTGAACGCATTTCTTGGGCCAAAAAAGCCGGTATAGATTGGCGGAAACATGCGGACTGTAACACTAAATTTTTTCATATTTCTGCCAAAATAAAAAAATCTAGGGGTCGTATTCTTTGTCTTCAAGACCATACTAACAGTAGTGAGGATTGGATTTATGATCAAGATGTTTTAAAAATATGGCCAGTAGCTATTTTCAGAATATTTTTACTTCCTCCATCCCCTCCCCTGATCATTCTCTTTTAGCTAAATTTGCCTACTCTAAAGTTATTGAAGATACCTTGGCTGCAGATTTAGGTTCTCCTCCCCTACCTAAGGAAATCCACTTAAATCTCATGGATATGAACCCTATTAACTCCCCTAGTCCCGATGGCATCCAAGCCATTTTCTTCCAAAAAAATTGGGAGGAAATTGGACCTAGTATTTGTGATTTTGTCACTACTTGTTTTAATAATGGTTGTATTAATAGTAATATCAATGACTCCTACCTATGTCTCATTCCTAAAAAGGATAATCCTTCTAATATGACGGATTTCCGGCCTGTGGGCCTTTGTAACACTATTTACAATCTCATTACTAAATGTATTGCCTCTCGGTTGAAACCTTTTCAAACTCTCTCATTAGCCCCTTTCAATCTAGCTTTATCCCTAATAGGTCCATCGACGAAAATATAATCATTATTAAGGAAGTAGCCCACTTTTTTAATAAGTTTTCTAAGAAAGCTAACATCATGGCCCTTAAAATTGACCTAGCCAAAGCTTTCGATAGCATTGAATGAAGCTTCATTGAAGACACTCTTAGGGCTATTAATCTCCCTAAAAATCTGATTACTCTCATTTTAAGCTGTATTTGCACCCCTCCATCTCTGTCCTTTGGAATGGTCAAATTACTAATGCCTTCAAACCTTCCAGAGGTATTAGACAAGGTTGCCCCCTCTCTCCCTATATCTTTGTTCTTTGTCTTGATCGTCTCTCTTGTATGATTCAAGACTCGGTTAATAGCAAAAATTGGAAACCCATGAAAATAGCTAAGGATATAGAACTTTCCCACCTTTTCGATGTCGATGATGTTTTCCTTTTTGGCAAAGCTAATCTTGACAACATTTCTGTTATGATGAAAGTTCTTGATAATTTCAATAAAATTTCTGGTTTATCCATTAATATTCATAAATCTTCCATTATTTTTCCAAAAAAAATGGACTATAATATTAGAAAAGGTATTTTTGATTACTGCAACATTAAAAGTTCCTTCTCTTTTGGTAAGTACCTTGGTATAATGATTAGCCCTAACAAACTTAAGATTGGTGATTATTATGACCTTCTTGATACAACTAATTCTAGAATTAGGGGTTGGCAAAGCAAGCTTCTAAATATGGCAGGTCGCACCACCCTGATAAAACCAGTCCTCAACTCTTTTCCCATGTATGCTATGCAAACTAATGTCTTACCTATTGCCCTTACTAACCAACTTCAAAAAAACATTAAAAAGTTTCTTTGGAACCGAGTGGACAAAGCTAGGTATATTCCTAGGACTACTTGGTCAGTTGTGTGTGACCCTATCAATGGTGGGGGTCTTGGAATTAGGAACCTTAAAATTTGGAATATTTGTTTTATGGCTAAACTTGGATGGAAAATTCTCACCCAACCCGATAAACTATGGGTTAAAATTCTCACAAAAAGATACCTTAAATATACTAACTTTTTAGATTGTACTCCTAAACCCAATAATTCCACAATTTGGAAAGACATTCTTCAAGGAAGAGAAATCTTAAAAAAAGGTTTAACTATCACTATAGGAAATGGTGATGATACCTCTCTTTGGTTCCACAAATGGATAGGTGATGCCCCCTTCTATCTTAATGATAATATTCGCATTCCCGATAACAAAGGACACTGGAGAGTTTCTAATATTATTCGGGATAAGAAATGGTTCCTTTCTCCTATTGCCCACCTTCTCCCTGAGGATATTCTCTCTATCATCAAAGCTACCCCTCTCCCCACTCTCCACTCCCCTAAATATAAACTCAGATGGTCCCTTCACAAAAATGGCTCCTTTACCATAAAATCTGCCTACTTCTCTGCCTTACCTCCTCCCTCCTTCCCTAACTCTTTCCTTGCTTCTTTCTCTTGGTCTTCCATGTGGAAGATTAAAGTACCATTCAAGTATAAAATGCTACTTTGGAATATCATAAGGCAAATCCTCCCCACAGGTTCCATCCTAGCTTCTAAGATCCCCAACTTTGACCCAAAGTGTACTAGATGTAATTCTCCCAACGAGGACTTCATCCATCTCTTTAGAGATTGCCCCAACTCATCGGTTTTTTGGGCCCTTATTTTTGATAATTATGCAAAAACTGATTTCAATTATGACCAATTTTTTAACACTGACTTTGAAGGATGGATTTCTTTTAATTTTGGTATGGATAAATCTTGGAAAATCATGTTTTGCATTACTCTTTGGCATCTTTGGTCTATAAGAAATAAAATGGTTTTCGAACAAGTAATGGATTCCACTCTAACCTCTTTTAATAAGTTTCAATCAGATTATCGTATTACTCTTTCCATCTCTCAGGTTTCAAATCCCATGATTGCTTCCTCTTCAAAGAGTTCTCCTAGAGTTTGGTCTCCTCCCCAAAGAGGATACTACAAACTCAATACGGATGCTTCTTGGATCAGTTTGGGTGCTGCTGGAGCAGGTGGTTTAATTCGCTGCCAACAAGGCAAATGGCAAATTGGTTTCTCTGTTAAGATCTCTGCCTTAGGGCCTGCTTCTGCTGAATTATTTGCCATAAAGGAAGGCCTGTCTACATCTTGGGCTAGAGGAATAAGATTTCTTGAACTCGAGACGGATGCACAAGCCTTAAAGTATATGCTTGAGAACCCGCTGTACTACATTGACCACGAGCTGTCCAACTTCATCAACGATATCGTGAAATTACTACAACGAGAGTGGAGTGTCACAATTCTTCATGTCAAACGCCAATCCAATAAGCTTGCTCATGGCCTTGCTCAAATTGGAAGACTTCAGCCTGATGATGATGTTGCTTACCAGTTCTTCTCCCCTTCGGCTTTCACTAAGGTTTATATGGATGAACTTGCATACTCCTTGGCACTTACTAAAGGCCCATGACTTTTCTGCTGCAGCTCATGAGCCTCCTCTAGGTTCCCCTCTGTCTTCCCTAGTCTTTTTTATTCCTTTTTTGATCTAAAAAGTGTAGTAACAAGTTAACAACTCACATTACATATAAGTTACCAACATCCAACTGTCCAAGTACAATGACTATATGAGCGTGATTTACCTAGAGTAGAAGTAATTCCAAAAGATTCTTAAAAAGTACAAGTACATCATAGTTGATTAAGTTGAATTTATTAGCCCCTGAAAATCAGTTGATTTTTTGGGTTTAATAACGATGTATGCCTTGTTTCATAGTTGGTTGTTGGTTGATTTGATAGACTGGTTTGATTGGTCGTTTGTATTAGTTTTTTTGTTGGTTGTTTGACTTTTTATTAATTTTAAAACATGTTTGATAAGTCATTTACCTAACAAGCTCATAGTGCAGTCTAAGTAGATTTATTTAATATGCTTATTCACATGCCTAACGTTTCTATATATTCGTCATCCATGTAAAGATTGTAAACAAATGTAACCTAATCTGTGTAATTAAAAGAAAAATCTAACAAAGAGAAAGAATGAAAGTGTTGAAAATTGATGTTAAAAGTACCAAAAAAAATATGATAAATACAACCTTAGCTTTAAATAGAAACAGACATTGTATTTTGGTTTACCCCAAAAGGAAAAAATTGCAGCCATTAGCTTTTTCATTTTGGCTTAAAAGCCAGCTTTTCAGCTGGCTGAAAAAGCCATTCACCAAACACATTTATAAATTGCAGGCTTTGCAGCCATTTAAAAAAAAATGCAAATTACAGCCCAAAAGTTCATAGCAAAAAATAGTTGCCCACAAATCGATATATTTTTTGTTACGCAAAACGAGACACTTACGTAATTTTTTTTTCTATTTTCGAGCTCAATTTGGAACTTCATGGCCTAAAATGACCCTTAAAATCTTAACCAAATATTTTTCGACACGTAAACCGATGAAAAAGTTAAATCGGACTGTAACTTACAATTTATAAGAAATTTTGGGCTGCAGTTTGCAATTTTTAAAAAAAATGGCTGCAAATGGCAAATTTTCCAAAAAAAAAACATACTTTGTATTATGAG